TATAAATATAAATATAAACATAAAATAAATACAAATATAAATATAAATATAAATATAAATATAAACATAAATATAAATATAAATATAAATATAATATATAAATATAAACATAAATATAAATATAAATACAAATATAAATATAAATATAAATATAACATAAACATAAATATAAATATAAATATAAATATATAAAATAAATAAATATAAAATAAATATAAATATAAATATAAATATAAATATAAATATAAATACAACATAAATATAAATATACACAAATAAATATAAATATAAATATAAATATAAATATAAATATAAATATAAATATAAATATAAAATAAAATATACAAAATAACACAAATAAAATACAAATATAAATATATAAATATATAAATATAAATATAAATATAAATATAAATATAAATATAAATATAAAATAAAATAAATATAAAATAAACATAAACATAAATACAAATATAAATATAAATATAAATATAAATATAAATATAAATACAAATATAAATAAATATAAATATAAATATAAATATAAATATAAATATAAATATAAACATAAATATAAATATAAATATAAACATAAATAATAAATATAACATAAACATAAACATAACATAAATACAAACATAAACATATAAATAACAAATAATATAAATATAAATATAAATATAAAATAAAAATAACAAACATATAAATATAACATAAATAAATATAAATATAAATATAAAACATAAATATATAAATATAAATATAATATAAATATAAATATAAATATAAATATATATAATATAAATATAACATAATATAAATATAAAAATAATATAATGAAACATAAATATAAATATAAATATAAATATAAATATAACATAAACATAAATACATAAATATAAATATAAATATAAATATAATATAAATATAAATATAAAATAAATATAAATATAAATATAAATATAAATATAAATATAAATATAAATATATAACATATAAATATAAATATAAATACATAAATATAAATACATAAATATATAAATATAACATAAATAAATAAATATAAACATAACATAAACATGCATGTTAACAAAAACAAGACAGACAACATAACATATAAATATAAATATAAATATAAGTAAATAAACATAAACAAATAAACATAAACATAAATACATAAACATAAATATAAATACAACATAATAAAATATACAAACATAAACATAAAATAAAATAAAATAAATAACATAAATTTAAATATAAATATACCATAAACAAATACAAATATAAATATAAAATAAACATAAATATAAATATAAACATAAACATAAACACAAATAATAAAATAAACATAAACATAAATACACAAATAATAAATATAACATAACGATAAACATAAACATATAAATATATAAAATAAACATAAACATAAACATACAAATACAAACATACAACATACAATATACAATAATACAAATATACAAACATAATAAACATATACCTATAACATAACATACATAATAAACATACACACATACATATATAAATATATAACATATAAAAATAATACACACAAACATACAAACATACAACATACAAACACACAAACATAACACATACAAACATACACACACAAACATTACACAAACATACACACACAAACATACAAACACACAACATACAAATAAACACAAACATACAAACATACAAACACACAAACATATAAAATACAAATATACAAATATATACAAACATACAAACATACAAACATACAAACATACAAACATAACAAACAAATAATAAGTACAAATATACAAACATACAAACATACAATACATACAACATACATACAAATACACAAACATATAAAACATAATAAACATACAAACATACAAACATATAAATACAACACAAAAAACAAACACAACACATACAAACACACAACATACACAAATCACAACACACAACATACAAACATACAAACAACATACAAACAACAACATACAAACATACAAACATACAAACATACAAACATACAAACATACAAACAACATACAAACATACAAACAAAAACAAACAAAAACAAAAACACAACAAAAACACAAAAATACAAATACAAACATAAACATAAACAAAAACACAAAACAAACATAAACATAAATAAAATTTAAAATACTAAACCTAAACAAACATAAATTAAATATACTAAACACAAACATAAACACATAAACAAACAAAGATAAACATACAAACAAACAAAATAAAATACAAACACAAGCAAGCACAAGAAGCACAGCACAAGCATAGACAAGACAAGAAGACAAGACAAGACCATAACAAGACAAGACAAGATTAAAAGTATAACAGCACACAAGCAACAAGACAAACACAAACACACAAACAAGACAAGAAAGATAAAACATAAGACATGAAGTGCATACATGGGTGACATGATAAGATAAGTATTATTAAGTGATAAGATAAGAATATGATAGATTAATACACATAATATACAATAAGATACAAATAAGATTAGAAGATAATGATATACAAATACATAAGTATAAAGACAGCAGATACATAATGTGACAAGATAACAGAAGATAGATAAGCATAAGATAAGTAAAATATAAAGACAGATAAGATATAAAAAGATAAAGCCGAATAAATATTAAAAACATAAAATAAATTGAAAATTAAATACAAACATAAACATAAACATAAACATAAACATAAACATAAACATAAACATAACATAACATAAACATAAACATACATAATATTAAACATAACACAAAAACAAACATAACATAAATAAGATAAAGTAAAACATAAATAAACATAAACATAAACATAACAAACATAAACATATTAAACATTAAATATTAAACATAAACATAACATTAGTATTGCATAAATACAAACAAGTATTAATATAAGTGATGGCAAACATAAACATAAATAAACATAAACATAAACATAAACATAACATAAAAATATAAATAAACATAAACATAAACATAAACATAAACATAAACATAAACATATAACATAAACATAAACATAAACATAAACATAAACATAACAACATAAACATAAACATAAACATAAACATAAATATACAGAAATAAACATAACATAAACATAAACATAAATATAAAAATAAACATAAACAACATAAACATAAAACATAAACATAACACAAATAAACATAAACATAAATAAACACAAACACAACAAAACACACATAAACATAACACACAAACATAAACATACAAAAACACAAAAAATACACAAACAATAAACATAAATATTTACACAAAAACACACAATAAAGATACATAAAGTAACCAAAAAAAAACACAAACCACACAAACATATACAAACACACACACAAAAATCATACACAACAAAATAACATAACATACACACACACACACACACAAACACACACACAACACACACACACACACACACAAACATACACACACATAAAGTATATACATTATTAAATATATAAAATATACATGTAAAAACACACAAAACACACAAACACACACATACAAATATACACATATACAAAGATACACACACATAAAACGTACACAATACACACACAAAAAAACACACACACACACATACAACACACATACACACACACACACAAACACATACACAAACACAATACACACATATATACAAAACACACACACAACACACACAAACACACACACACACAAACACACACACAAACACACACACACACACACAAACACACACAAAAATATACACAAATAAACATAACAAAACAACAACCTATTAAATAAACAAACGACAAATACACACACCAATACATAACATACATAAAAATACACAAAAAGTAAAACATACAATATACACACAAAATACACAAACATACACACACACAACATACAAAACACACAACACACAAAAACATATTATACATACAAATATACACATACAAACATACAAATACACATATAACAAATACATATATACAAATATAAACACATAAACATACAAACATACACAAACACACACACACAAACACAAACACATACACACACACACACACACAACACAGATACAAATACACAAACATACAAACATACAAACAACACACACAACATAACACAAAACACACAAACACACAAACACACAACACACACAAACACACACACAACACACACACAACACACACAACACACACACAACACACAAACATACACAACACACACATACACACACACACAACACACACATGAACACACATACACAAACATACACAAACACACACAAACACACACAAATACACACAAATACACACACACACACACAAACACAACAAAACACACACAAAACACACAAACAACACAAACACACACACACAACATAAACACACATACAGACAAATATACACACAAACACACACATACACAAACACACACATACACAAACACAACATAACACAAATACACACACATATGACAACACATACAAACACACATACAATACACAAACACACATACACAAAGCACATACAAAACACACACACACACAAACACATACACATATATAAACATACACAAAATACAAATACACAAACATACACACATACACACACATAAACATATATACACACACATACAATACACAAACACAACACACAAACACACAAACACACAAACACACAAACACACAAACACACAAACACACAAACACACAAACACACAAACACACAAACACAAAAACACACAAACACACAAACACACAAACACACAAACACACAAACACACAAACACACAAACACACACAAACAAACACAAACACACACACACAAACACACACAAACACACACAAACACACGCAAACACACGCAAACACACACACACACACACACACGCGCGCAGACACACACAGACAGACACAGACGCACAAAAGAACAAGCATGCAAGCACATATAGCCTTATTGTGGCCAGGTGGACCACTACTTGCACAAGGATGTCTCGTACCCTTCCAGCATGACACCTCGCTCGGACGGGGATGGGTCCCACGTCTGTGCAGTTCCACATTCTGAAAAGCACCTTGGTCGCCCTGCCAGGACGGAGTGGACATTTTGGAAGTTCCCTTCTGCGTCTATTGAGGCGTCGCATCGATCTTCGTGCGATGCGTCGGCTGTAATTAGCAAACGCAGGAAGGCAAAGCGCTGGCAATCAGTTGTCCTGGTTGCGATGCTTGCCGGGCTTGGCCCGCCATTTACAACAAATCGCAGGCAGTATCCATAGGGTGTAGCCAACTCCACAAGTGATGAGATGGATTTCAAAGCCTTGGAGGCAATGGTGTGATGCCGCTTGGGGTAGGGACTGCCTTTTGCTCGACAGGCAGTTGGCAGTCTTGGGAACCCGAAAGCCCCGGCTCATGCTGACCGAGAGCCCACTTCGCGTGGCACGGTACCCTGCCGAAGAGGCTTTCTTTTTACAGAATTCGTGGGCAGACATGCCATTGCGCGTTGAGGAGATGCCTTATTGGCAGTGGTGTGAGACGAGCACCTCAGTCCCGCTTGCATCAAGAAGATGCCTGTCTCGTCTGGTTGGATTTCACAGGGACGATTTACTATTTGCAGCAAGTTCCTGTCAGGTTTGAAGAGCGGATGCGGCAGTGACAATCTGATAGGCAGATCTGGCAGTCGAAATAGTTTTAGATAGATGAGATGGTCTTCACAGTTTCTCATACCTCAGGTGTCCTTGCATTGCGCAGTCTGGGGGAGAATGGCATATCTCTGTCACTGCAAGCTCGCAGTGAACCAAGCGTGCAGCCGACCCGGCGGTTTTGTACAGTAGCGGGAATGACAACTCTGACTAGCGTCCACACTTGGCATCCATATTGCGCAGGCGCGCATGCCAGGTGTGGCGGAAGGTCGAGTTGAGCAGTTGCCCTATGAGCGTCTGCATCTGAATCTGCTCGATTTTGTTTGCGCGTCAAGCGGACTTGAAGGCGACCCGTATTCATCCGAGGCCGTCCTTCTTGCAACTGGTGTGGCCTGGACAATTCAGGTTGAGAGCCGTGGTATCCATGCGGAGCGGCTGCGAACCGTTTTGACGCACAGCTGTTGTCAATGTCAAACAAGGCTTCAAGAGTCCACTTCTTTACATGGCCGTGGGTCAAAACCCTGTACCCCTGGTCAACATCAAAATAGGTGGCAAATGGATGTTTATCCACCCCAAAATGGAGCCACTGGCTGTGGGTCAAAACCAATGGTACCATTTTGGGGTAGGTGAATTCACCACCCATTTTAGTCTATTTTAGTGGTTGGGTTGGGATGTTCACCGGATTTTGGTACGGGATTTTGACCCATGGCCACTTCTTTACATGGATGCCAAGGCTCATAGATCACCAACACTTGATGCTTTCTTTCAACTCATAGCTGCAGAGTATCTCGATCGCCTTGTGCCGATTGGTGCACAGATGGCCATGAGATGAGGTGCTCATGCTGACGCTAGACGGCGGTCAAACAAGCGAGAGAGAGAGAGAGAGAGTGAGAGAGACAGAGAGAAGAGAGCCACCATCCAGATGCAGCACATGGCCGCCATCTGAAAATGTGAATCGCCATTGCTCCTATTTATCTCAAGCATTGCAGCTGCGCGTCATTCAGCCATAAGTTAAGGCGGCCTCAGCGTGCCCTCCCCGCGAGATGTTTGTGGGGGAGAGACATGGGTTGGTCTCGAAACGGGATATGGCCCAGCCAACTCCATTTTGGCAGTTTTCTTTTGGCTACTTCCATGTAAAAGCTTCCAAAAAGCGGGGGTTTCCTTTGGTTGCCCTTTTCACCAGCATTGGAAAGAGCGAGACCCACATGGAACTCAGAGCGTTTGCCATGGACTCGGAATTCAAGTGCAGACTTCGATGGAGAAGAAGCCGGCCGCCTCAGAATCGCAAAATTCCAGGGGTTGATTCCGGATTCTTTTCAACCTTCGTTCTTTCCAAAAGTCGGCCGTTTTCCCCTGGGTTTCCTGAGGTTTTCTAGAAAGAAGGATCCGGAAAGAATGGGGAAGGTACCCCTAGACAAATTCGGGGGTCTTTTCCGGGGTGCTTAGATGATCCACCTGGACCTGAACACTGGGTCCAGTGGCAAAGGTCATAATTTGAATGGCCACATTGTTTCTTCAACGAGCTCTGTTTTTGCATCGTTTCTGTAATTTGAGGCGCGTGAGATTGCGAGAAGTGCAGCCTTTAGATGATGACGGTGATGACGAAGGTGCGGGGACTTGTTGTCACTTTCGGAGCGACAAAGTGAGACCATCTCATCATGGTTGTGGAATATTGGGTTTTAGGTTGCCACTTTCTGTCATGTCAAGGGAACCTCCTTTGGAGTGGCGATCCGGAGGTCGCTGCCAATTTCGTGATTCGGGATTTAATCACATTTTCGGGATTCGGGATTCGGGATTCGGGCCTCGAATCACATTTTCGGCATTCGGCATTCGGGATTCGGGACCCGAATCACATTTTCGGGATTCCCATTCTCGGGATTCGGGATTCGGGATTCGGGATTGGGGATTCGGGACTGGGAAGGCCCCATCCTCAGATTCGGGATTCATGATTCGGGATTCGGGATTTGGGATTCGGGACTCGAATCACATCTTCGGGATTCGGGATTGGGGATTCGGGACTGGGAAGGCCCCATCCTCAGATTCGGGATTCATGATTCGGGATTCGGGATTTGGGATTCGGGACTCGAATCACATCTTCGGGATTCGGGATTGGGGATTCGGGACTGGGAAGGCCCCATCCTCAGATTCGGGATTCATGATTCGGGATTCGGGATTTGGGATTCGGGACTCGAATCACATCTTCGGGATTCGGGATTCGGGATTCGGGATTCGGGGATTCGGGATTCGGTACTCGAATCACATTTTCGGGATTCGGCATTCGGGATTCGGGACTGGCACCATCGATTCGGGATTCGGGATTTGGGACTCGAATCACATTTTCGGGATTCGGGATTCGGGATTCGGGATTCGGGACTGGAATGGCTTCATCCTCAGATTCGGGATTCGGGATTCGGGATTCGGGATTCGGGATTCGGGATTCGGGACTGGGAAGGCCCCATCCTCAGATTCGGGATTCGGGATTCGGAATTCGGGATTCGGTACTCGAATCACATTTTCGGGATTCGGGATTCGGGATTGGGGATTCGGGACTGGAATGGCCCCATCCTCAGATCGGGATTCGGGATTCGGGATTCGGAACTCGAATCACATTTTTGGGATTCGGGATTCGAGATTCGAGATTTGGGACTGGGAAGGCCCCATCCTTGGATCCGGGATTCGAATTCGGGATTCGGGATTCGCGCGCGAATCACATTCTCGACCAGCGTCTCCGGATCTCGTCTCCTCCTTTGAGTGACAGTAGCTATATTTGAGAATGCGAGCTACTTTGGTATCACAGAAGCACTATTTTCCACAACCGTGCTCTGAATCTCTTCAGGTGGTGCAAAGTCTTTGATGCTTCAAGAGGTTTGGTTTTTTGTTGGCGGGGGGGGGGATTGGAAACCAGATGTCTCATCAAAAAAGACATGTCGTTTGGGTAGTGTTTGGCTCACTTTTCTTTCTTCTTTTAAATGTTGGGACTAGAACCTATTTTAGTGGGGATTGGGATGTTCACTGGGGGTACGATTTGGCTTTTGACCCATGGCTATGTGATCCTAAGGGCCACAGACAGCTGATCGGCAGGCACTTTGGCCCCCAGCAGGACGGGCTGGTTGAGGTCTGGTCCCACTTCCGCGCCGGTTGGGGGCTTTTCAGTCGAAGCCGGGGCGACTATCGTCGACGGAATTGGCCGGTTCACGTGGGACGAAACGCAACAAAGCATCCCTGGCCTGAGGAAACATTGGGCACTTCTGCTCGAAGGTTTCGTAGGTCCCTTCGGTTTGTCGGAGCCCGCGCGGAAGTTTCGGTGTTTCGTTCTGTGAAGCAGCGATCAAGAGCGAAGGCGCAATAAACTGGGCGCGACGAAAGCACTAGTTGACTGCTGCTGCAGACGGACCAAAATGCATGAGGTGGTTTCTCCCAGAAATGTTAGGCTTTCTTCCGTCCCAACTGGTGCAAGACTGTGTCCAGTATGTCATGACTAAATTTGGTTTTGAATCGCACCACCCTGTTCTATTGATTTAGGCTCTTAAAGGAACCGCTGCCTTGGTTCTTGCATTTTCTCCGCGCTTCCCCTTTGCTTGTCCCTTCCTTGCTCCCGGCTTGGCTATTGCTCTTTTGGGCGGGAATCCTCGCTTGCTCTCCGCTCTCTCCGCAGTTCTGGGGGCCGCTCGGGTAGCTTTTTGCGCGCTCGCGTTCTCCCTTTAGGGCGGAAGAACATACCAGTTTCCAAAGCCAGAGCGGCGGAAATCTGTGTGGGACGCGATAGTGAGGTGAGCAAGAACAGCCAGTTGAGCGAACAGGGGCAGAGCTGGGCTACTCTCCTGTCCACGTGCCACGGAACCCACCGTTTCTCTATCTAGGGGACCACTCTCCTGATTTTCGGGTGTCCCCAGAGCCAACTACTGGGGAACGCCGTACCCATGTCCATTTGGTCGTGTCTTTTTTGGAGGGCGCCCCGTTTGAGTTGGTTTAGAGGAGGACACCTCTGAGGGTTCGGAACAGTCGCGTCTGAGTCAGGACTCCACCCCAGCGTCCCCCAAGTGGGGTGAAGGGCGTTGGGTCCTCGGCTGGTTGAATTCCCAGACAGATGTGAAGAGGTCAGAGATGTGAAGCCAGCGGCAACTGCAACTGGGAGTTGGATGACAAAGCCACGGGAAGGCCATCTAGTCTCGGGGGGGAACTGCAGGTCGCAGCTGTGTTTTGAATGTGTCAAGCCCACCCAAACACGCCTGGAAAACAGCCCCGAACAAATCCAGCGCTACCAATGTAAAACGGAGCACGTCCACCTAAGACTACGGGATTGACTCGGAATCAACACTTTTGGTGGAACCCCCACTAGCACTGCACCACCCCAAGACTCCTTAGGTTCCTCAGATTTTTGAGGGGTCTGCACTTTCCTTGGGCTTTTCCTACACTGCCTCAGACTAACAGCCGGAAGCTCCCAGAAGGCCGATCCTGCAAATGGATCACCAAGTCTTCCAAAGGGTGGGAGCTTCCATGTTAGTCTGCCCACCCAACCCCCACCCCACCCCCCCCCCCCACCCCACCCCCACCAGGAGGGTGGGCGCCCCAACGACCCCACCCCGCCCGAGCCAAGGCCGTGCCGCCCCCCCCGGGCTTTGGCCCTCCGGCGCCGCCGCCGCGGCTGCCCGCGCGGGCGCCGAAGGCGGCCTTTGAGGAGGCCTCCACGTCGACGCGTCCGGTCGCGGGCTGGGTGGCGCGGTGGGTTGGGGCGGTGGGAGGCCGAGAGTTGGGGGTCAGGACCTGAAAAAAGTCCGGGAACAACAGGGGTGGGGGGAAGTGCGAGCAAAGCATGCTAGCTGTAGCCAGGGAAAATTCTGGATTGTTCACTCTTGAGGAATCTTAGAATGATGGATGGGGGTCAGAACCAAAGAAATGCGGGAACGACTGGGGGGGGGGGGCAAAGTTAGCTGTAGCCAGGGGAAATTCTGGATTGTTCATCAGTGAGAAATCTTACAGGGGGTCAGAACCAAAGAAATGCGGGAACGACTGGGGGGGGGGCAAAGCTAGCTGCAGCCAGGGGAAATTCTGGATTGTTCATCAGTGAGAAATCTTACAGGGGTCAGAACCTAAGAAGTGGGGAACGACTGGGGGGGCAAAGCTGGCTGTAGCCAGGGGAAATTCTGGATTGTTCATCAGTGAGAAATCTTACAGGGGGTCAGAACAAAAGAAATGCGGGAACGACTGGGGGGGGGGGGGCAAAGCTAGCTGTAGCCAGGGAAAATTCTGGATTGTTCACTCTTGAGGAATCTTAGAATGATGGATGGGGGTCAGAACCTAAGAAATGCGGGAACGACTGGGGGGGGGGCAAAGCTAGCTGTAGCCAGGGAAAATTCTGGATTGTTCACTCTTGAGGAATCTTAGAATGATGGATGGGGGTCAGAACCAAAGAAATGCGGGAACGACTGGGGCAAAGTTAGCTGTAGCCAGGGGAAATTCTGGATTGTTCATCAGTGAGAAATCTTACAGGGGGTCAGAACCTAAGAAATGCGGGAACGACTGGGGGGGGGGGCAAAGCTAGCTGTAGCCAGGGGAAATTCTGGATTGTTCATCAGTGAGAAATCTTACAGGGGGTCAGAACCCAAGAAGTGCGGGAACGACTGGGGGGTGGCTGGCTGTAGCCAGGGGAAATTCTGGATTGTTCATCAGTGAGAAATCTTACAGGGGGTCAGAACCTAAGAAATGCGGGAACGACTGGGGGGGGGGCAAAGCTAGCTGTAGCCAGGGGAAATTCTGGATTGTTCATCAGTGAGAAATCTTACAGGGGGTCAGAACAAAAGAAATGCGGGAACGACTGCAGGGGGCAAAGCTAGCTGTAGCCAGGGGAATTTTTGCATTGTTCATCAGTGAGAAATCTTACAGGGGGTCAGAACCTAAGAAATGCGGGAACGACTTGGGGGGGGGGGCAAAGCTAGCTGTAGCCAGGGGAAATTCTGGATTGTTCATCAGTGAGAAATCTTACAGGGGGTCAGAACCTAAGAAATGCGGGAACGACTGGGGGGGGGGCAAAGCTAGCTGTAGCCAGGGGAAATTCTGGATTGTTCATCAGTGAGAAATCTTACAGGGGGTCAGAACAAAAGAAATGCGGGAACGACTGCAGGGGGCAAAGCTAGCTGTAGCCAGGGGAATTTTTGCATTGTTCATCAGTGAGAAATCTTACAGGGGGTCAGAACCTAAGAAATGCGTGGAACGACTTGGGGGTAATAGCTGTAGCCAGGGGAAATTCTGGATTGTTCATCAGTGAGAAATCTTACAGGGGGTCAGAACCTAAGAAATGCGGGAACGACTGGGGGGGGGGGCAAAGCTAGCTGTAGCCAGGGAAATTTCTGGATTGTTCATCAGTGAGAAATCTTACAGGGGTCAGAACCTAAGAAATCCGGAACGACTGGGGTGGGGGTGAACCTAAGAATTCCGGGAACGACTGGGGGGCGCAAAGCTAGCTGTAGCCAGGGAAAATTCTGGATTGTTCATCAGTGAGAAATCTTACAGGGGGTCAGAACCTAAGAAATCCGGACGACTGGGGTGGGGGTGAACCTAAGAAATCCGGGAACGACTGGGGGGCGCAAAGCTAGCTGTTGCCAGGGACAATTCTGGATTGTTCATCAGTGAGAAATCTTACAGGGGGTCAGAACCTAAGAAATCTATAGCCAGTGAAAACTCTGGATTATTTGTTATTGAGGAATAATAGAATGATGGATAATGATGGATGGGGGTCAGAACCTAAGAAATCCGGGAACGACTGGGGGGGGGGGGGGGCGGGGGGAGCCAAGCTAGCTATAGCCAGTGAAAATTCTGGATTACTTGTTATTGAGGAATCTTAGAATGATGGATGGTCAGAACCTAAGAAATGCGGGAACGACTGGGGCGGGGGGAGCTAAGCTGCTATAGCCAGTGAAAACTCTGGTTTATTCGTTATTGAGGAATCTTAGAATGATGGATGGGGTCAGAACCTAAGAAATGCGGGAACGACTGGGGGAGGGGGGAAGCTAGCCATGGCCAGTGAAAATTCTGGATTATTCGTTGTTGAGGAATATTAGAATGATGGATCGGGGTCAGAATTAAGAAATCCGGGAACGACTGGGGGGGGCTATAGCCAGTGAAAATTCTGGATTATTCGTTATTGAGGAATAATAGAATGATGGATAATGATGGATTGGGGGTCAAAACCTAAGAAATCCGGGAACGACTGTGGGGAGCTAAGCTAGTTATGGCCAGTGAGAATTTTGGATTATTCGTTGCAACTGAGGAATAATAGAATGATGGATAATGATAGATGGGGGTCAGAACCTAAGAAATTCGGGAACGACTGCGGGGGGAGCTAAGCTAGCTACAGCCAGTGCAAATTCTGGATTATTCGTTATTGAGGACTCTTACAATGATGGATGGGGGTCAGAACCTAAGAATTCCAGGACCGACTGGGGGGGGGGGGGGGAAGGCGGGAAAAGGGGCAGAGCCTTCAATTGTCCCTTAGCTTCTGGAAGAGAGCAAACTCTGCTTGACATGACTTTCACAAAGCGTCTTATGCAAGTTTCTGGGCTTAGCCACACCTTTTGAGGACCGACCCATGCTCCGGTCCATTCTACTGTTGCCAACTCAATTGTGTGTTCTGGTTCAAAAGGGAGACGTGAAACACAGCAACAATTGTTTGGGAAACAAAATGGGGGACCTCTCCAAATGGTTGGTTTCCTTGGTATCCTCAAAAAGAAGACCCGCCTTTTTGCCGGCACCCTTGTCACCTTAAGACCATGAAAGAAAAAGCCAAAGTCGCATGTTTGCTCGCACGCATTAATTTTCCAGTTTATTTCTGCGTTCCTTCTAAACTTCCTTTGATGAGATTCATTCTCCGGCCTTTTCCTAGGCGTTTTAGTTTCCTGGTAGTTTTGGACGTGTTGGGCGTTCTAAGTGGTTTCTAGGAGTTTTGCGCGACCCCCGAGCCCAAAAAGCGTCTTTTTCTGATTTGCGGGCGTTTGCGGGGCTTTGGATCCGAACCCTGCTATCTTAGATGGATACAGAGAAAGGACAAACAGACAAAATATATTTCACCAAGGTCAGCTAGCTAGCCAGATAGACAGGTAGATTTAGAGGATACGCAGGAAGCTCGGTAGATAGATGGGTAGGTGCGTTGATGGAGTAATAGGAAGCTAAAAATAGAGATATAGAGAGATTCAGGGATATAGAGGGAGAGACAGCAAGATAGCGAAATAGATAGCTAGCAAGATTTATAGATAGAGAGATAGCGAGATAGCAAAAGAGCGCAGTAGAGACATAAAGGGGTAGAGAGATGGAGAGATAGACAGGTAGAGAGACTGATGGATAGAGAGTCGATAGGTAGATAGGTAGCGAGAGAGAGAGAGAGAGAGAGTGAGAGAGACACATAGCAAGACAGATAGATCGATAGCTAGATAGACTGCCGGGTAGATGGAAAGAAGCAGAGGTACATAGGTAGATAGAAAGATAGAAAAAGGAAAGGAGAAAGAGAGAAGGAAAAGAAGAGAAAGCGAACGAGAAAGAGACATATAGAAAGATAAAAAGAAGAGAAGAGAAGAGGAAGGAAAGCGAAGAGCAAGAGAAAGAGAAAGAGACGCAGCAAGAAGCGGAAAAAACCAAAAAACAGATAAAGGGAGAGAGATTGAAACAAATATATAGTGCATACGTTTTTGAAACTTCCGAAGAGAATCACGTTTTGAACCCTTTTCAAATCTTCCCCAAGAGCGATCAAGCCTTAAGTGTCTTTACATTATTTCCACGTGTAAGCGTTCCTACGTGCGAGCGTTCCCTCAAGCTGACTCCAAGCGTTCGCTCCCGGGTGCTCCCAGTTGCTCCCAAGTGTTCCCAACTTGAGCCACAATCAAAACCCGGGCAGATGAAGGTTAGTAAGGGACAGTCCCAGCCATAGATAGTTGCAGCTTAATTCTTGGAGCATGGTTTTAATTGTCACTCACTCTTCCAAGCGTTCGCAAGTGTCCAATGCCTGGGATCGGATTCCTTCTGGGGCTGGGGGGGAAGGGAGGGGGGGGGGGCGCCCAAGTTCGCCCTAAACGCTTTCCGCAGTTTTTTTGTTGGGCCCCTCCCTCCCCTCCCCTCCTCCTCCCTCCCCTCCCTCCCTCCCTCCCTCCCTCCCCCTCCTCCCTCCCCTCCCTCCCCTCCCTCCCCCTCCGCCCCTCCCCGAGTTCCAACTGGCAGGCCGGGCCACCGCCCAGCCAGGCGCCGCGGAAGGGGCCGCGGTCCCGTGCCAAGGGCCCGGAACCTCGGCGGTTTCCACTGGGAACTGGGGTAGACTGAGGATACGTCTTACATTTGACCAGTGACTCAAAGTGAAGCAAGCAACATATACATTCTACAACTGGGCCTAACTCTATGGGAAGTGACATCGAAAGAATGCCGGGTTTGGTGAAAGTTTCTTCTTGATTCCGGCAGGGGCATGGGGGGACTTTCTTTCTTTGAGCACAACTCAAGCCTGCCCATGTCTATGGTAGGGCAGCCAAGTTTTGCAGGGATGGCAGAGTGAGTGCCGTGCATGCTATTGGATGGTCCTGATCCTTACGAGCTTCCCAGGATTCCTGTCAAAAGCAGGGCCCAAAGTAGACCAAAGTCACTCAGCAATCTACTTGATTGCCGTCCGCAATCCTCCCCACGTGTGCGTTGTTTGGAGGGCCATAGTTGTTTTTTTCGTTTCGATTGGATTCGGGATTCCACTCTGAAACATGAGCTCTCACTGGAAGCGGTCGCACTTGTGTATATCATATCATGATTCCAAGAGAAAGCAAGGCCCGGTTTGTTGGAGCAACATCTTTTCTATCATTATTAAATAAACATCTTTCTCATTTCTGTGTTTCAGGGGGTTCCTTGTTCAGGGAGCACCAACAGAATGATTTTTTCTTCCCCACAACGGTGTAAACATGTTTACACGGAGCGGCCTAAGCCTTGAGGCCGACGCCAGAGGGCCAAGCCCTTGTTGGCCAAGACCAAAGCCGCTGGGCTGGAGAGCGACGACAGCTCGGAGGAGGAGCCGTTGTGGCGGGGCCTTCTTCTGGTACCTGGGCTAGTGACTACCATTGATTGAGGACTTTCTGGTGGCTTCTGTTTTGGGGGGTTTCCTTTCAGAATACGGAGTCTCAGCTGGATACTGGGTGAATCTAGTTCCTGTTGTTGCAACTTTAAACTGAGACATCTATGCGGCATGCGTGTTTTAGCAATAGTTGCTGGCCTGACCATTGGTCAAGAATCCTCGAGGAGAAGCCGAAAGCGGCGCCGGCGCAGGCGCTCCCGCGGTTTCGCCTCCGGCATTCATTTGCACTGAGCTACAATCAATGGACGAAATCCTGCACCAACTAAGAACATATGGGAAACCATTGTTTGTTGGTATTTACAGGCCAATCATCATCCGAGGGTTTATCAGGTGTTGCGAAATGGATTTTGTCCATCCGCAGTCTCACCGTGTGGCTCCGTGTCAGCCTCAAGTGGGGCTTTTCGATTTTGGAATGCAGGCCTTTCGCCTTTCTTGGTTTAGCCTTCCTTCTAGGTTAGCATTCAGGAAGTGGAATTCTCAGTTTTGAGAGGCGTGCTGTTGTGTGTCGCTGGTTTTGTGGCAGGCACCGGCGGCACCGCAGGAGGAGCTTGGATCGATCGGTGACTGTTGCCTGATTTTCGCCAGGGCCCCCCGCACTGTTTGGCGAAAATTGCCTGGTGGATTCCCTTTGCCCCATCAGACATCCCAGTTGATCCGAAGCCGCCAGCGCGCAAGCGCGCGCAGTCGGCAGGACTCGGGAGGATTCCTCTCAACGCTGTGGAAAGGCGCTACAGCCGCAATGGGCGTGGTGAGGCGCGCCAGATGGGAATGAGGCAGCTTGTGTCGTCAAGATAGTTAAAGCCATGTTCCTTTCTTTTGAGTAAACCTACCCCTTTTTGGGTATGTCTCAGGGCACCTCTTTTTGTTGATGGTTTGAAAGGGAAACCAGAGGGAAGCTGCCCATCCAAGGGTTTTGCTGGAGGATGACAAGTTGCGCAAGATGGTCTCTCCCACTTGAAGGCTGCAATGAATTTCGTAGACTCGTGATCTGCTGTTTGTGCTCCGGTTGCCCCACCCACACTGTGCTCATTTTTTCCGCGGCTCACGTGCTGTGCCAGTGACATTGTCACGGCCATCAATGCGGAGAGCGACTCCGAGGAAGGGGTGCAATGGCAAGGGTCAACGGGTTCTAAGGAACGGGTTCCCATCGCTAGCAAAGGGCGTTTTTGTTTGATGTGCGTCGCATCCGCTGTCGGGCCCCATTTGTTGGAACCCATTCAACTGGGCCGCCCAAGTGTCGGGGCAGGTTGCTGCAAGTTTTGAAGAAGATGACGCCAGGAGGACAAGCCTGCTGAATCGGCAGCTGGAGGCGGGTGAAGATTCCTGGGCTCCCCATCTCATGGCAGTTGGAGACAGGTGCAGAGCAGCCCAAAGACAAGGCAGGCGGTGATGGTGGGGGGTTGGTGGGGGCGGAGGGTTGGTGGGGGTTGGCCATCTGGCCAGAGTCAAAACGCCATGCCCAAATCATGGGTCAAAATCCCGTACCCCCAGTGAACATCCAAATCCCCACTAAAACAGTAGACTAAAATGGGTGGTGCACCTACCTCAAAATGGGATCCCATGAGTTTTGACCCACAGCTATTTGGTGGTTAGTGGCACTGGTGAGCCCTTGAAGCCATGGTAAGGATTTGTGTTGAGGCGGTGATGGCGCAGGCTGCAGCATCTACCTCGCTGCCCCCTAAGAAGGAGTCTTCGGCCAAGACGAAGGCTGAGGAGGACGCAGGGCGGGTCCACGCAGCGCATGGCAGGTGGAAGCGGGAGTTGTGTTTTTTTGGTGAGGCTTCCCCTTTCACCGCCCCCCCCCCCCCTCGCCCCCCCTGTTCATTTTTCTTTAATTTTTTTGTCGGTCGGTCGGTTGGTCGGTCGGTTGGTCGGTGAGTTGTGGCTTTCGCGGCTTTGTGCCTGCTTTTGGCTTTCCACATCCTTAGCATCACAGTAGCATCATTGCCAGGATAGTGCTTGCAACCCACCTGAAACCAGCGCTAAACAATCCCTAAACCACCTAAGTAAGCCCTAAGCAAACCCTATACCCTTTCCCCACCCTAAACCCACAAACCAGCACTGAACTATCCCCAAACCACCTTAAACCAACCCTAACCCCGCACTAACCCACCCTGAACCCACACTAAACCCACACCCCAACCACAGTAAACCATCCCTAAACCAACCCTACCCCCACCCCGACTGTGGTGAAAAGCAGGCAAATGCTGCAAACTAGGTCATTTTATCGCCTGCCGAGCCTCGGAGAGAAAAAAGAGCGGCCTGTCCAACCTACGAAACTAGAAACGCTTCCGCCCCTTTCAGCTTGGTTTAAAGGGAATCCGGAAAGGAACACCGCATTCCCCCCCCTCCTCGAGCATGCCTTGTCACTGAATGGAGGGTTGGCATGGAAGATGCTCAGGAGGAGCAATATGTCGAGTGCTCCCAGGGAAATACAACCGTCGCGACATTCTCTTGCAATGCGTGAAGCGAGACTTTTAGCTTCCTCAAACGGCGTTTTTGTGCTCACTGAAGTGCCAAAGGGAATTTCACCATTGGAGTGGCCCCTTGGAAGACACACCCAGTTCTCCCTACGTCCCTTGGGACGCGCGTGGAAATCGGCACAGGTACGTCTCACAGTTCTGCGTCTACCTGGGGATCGACGTGGCTGGAGAGCCTGACCTCATCACTGAGGCGCGGATCTTTTGGGCGTTGCCTGGTCGTTGGGCAGTTTGGCAAAACAGACTTCAGAAGACGCTTGTTGTTCTGTGGTCCATTTCATGGAGCCGCACAAACTCTCTCCAATTTTTGCCCCTGTCCATAGAGGCCGCAAGATTTGAGAAAGACTCGGGACGTGAAGCGGAACGGAGGTGGACGATTACCTCAAGAAGCCACTACCATTCGGGTGGGGCACTCAAGTGCCGGGCTTGCAACCAGCAGCCCAGCACCGCACCGCTGGCTTCGAACCAACCAGCACCGCTGGCTTCGGGGCTCCACAGAGTTGGGAGTTTGGTTTCTCAACACGTCGGAGGAGGTTTTGTATTCTGGAGAGACATGCAAAAGATCATTTAGCTGTGGGTCAAAACCCAGGAAACCCCTGGTGAACATCAAAATAGGTGGCGAATGGATGTTCATCCACCCAAAAATGGAGCTATAGGTTATGCCCTATGGCCATTTGGGTTTGTCTCCACGAAGCCACACAATGGGTGTCTTCCCTCCTCGAAAGTGATAGTGCAAGGTGGACCACACATCAGACTGGGGAAGACTGCGAGTACGGCGCGGGCTACACGTGACCCGGTTCAATGAATCAGTTCCCTGATACCGGCTACCGCTTCAAACGATCTATGCATATATATATATAGATATAGTCAGACTATAGATGCCAATTGGATTCTGATTGCGTCAGAAAGTCTCAAACAAGCGTTGTGCCAAAAGGCAGCCTTTTCAATTTGACCTGAACATGTCAAGGTTGGGCCTTATTTAAACATGTGGCAGCAACTAGTGTTTGACCAACCTCCTTTTGGTTTCCTTAAAGCACATTCTGAACTAATGTTTGAGCACCCTCCTTTTGGTTTGCCCTTAAAAGGGGACGAGCTGCTTGTCAAAACAAATTGCCCAACCGTGCATGGCAAATTGTTGTGGCGTGCGCTCTGCAGGTACTTCATGCAGTCTTCCACCGGACGCACTCAGTGGACCCGACCTGATGAAGATGTGGCCTGACAGCAACGCGTTCATCGCATTGCTGGTGCGAGAAGTGTGGACTGTGGCAATGAACCGGTTTTGGGGATTCCCGAAAAAGGACACCACCAGTGAGATGTTTGTTTTTGGGGTCATTCCATTCCCCCATCTGCCTATCGCACCAGCAAGAGCAAGTCATTGCTTTTCGCTTTGGCGCCTTTTCAAGGGCGGAGGTACAGAGTTCGCCCGCTCGGCAGACGGCGCCAGTCCAAGAAGTGAAATATCAATCACGCACGCACCCACCCACCCACCCACCCACCCACCCACCCACCCACCCACCCACCCACCCACCCACCCACCCACCCACCCACCCACCCACCCACCCACCCACCCACCCATCCATCGATCCGTCCATCCGTCCACCATCCGTCGTGTCTTGTCTTGTCTTATCGTCTCTTCATCCAGTGTAGTCTAATCTAAGTCCAATTCAGATTCATAACCAAATATCAACAGAGGCCTGAACCCTATCAAGCTTGACACGTGGATGGAGGAAGTGAGTTTTGACTGCGCCTCAACTGCATGTGGTGTTTCAACCGAAAATACGCTTGCCTTATCTACAGAGGCCTGCTCCTAAGCGTGAAGTGAGTTTGTCTCAAAAAAATCGGGGAACCCTCAAAATGGCCAGGGCTGCCGTCTTTGTGGTTCTCCCTCCAATTCAGAACCGGTACCAACTCCAAAACGTTTTTCTCTTGAACTCAAGCCAAAGCTTGCCGAGGTTCCAAAATGGGGACCCCAAGGAGTTGCAATCATATAACTCCAACAGGTTTCCCTTGTCTCCATAGACCTCCAACAGGTTTCCCGGGAGACCCTTCCGTTTCGCTTTTCCCTCGAAACCATATTGGCCATGGGTCAAAATCCCGTACCCCCAGTGAACATCCCAATCCCCACTGCAATAGACTAAAATGGGTGGTGCAGCTACCCCAAAATGGTATCATGGGTTTTGACCCACAGCATATGACTCGCAAAAGGGACCCCCAAGGAGTTCCTACAGCGGCTGCGGGGCATCATGAAGCGCCCGCCCGCCGCGCGAATCTCGGAAAGCCGAGCCGGAAAGCGGCCGGAAGTGCAAAGACAGCGTCCATTGGCTTAAGACTTATCATTTGGGTGTGCGCCTGTTTGAACTTAGTACCCCCCTTTTTGTGGTTTAAAGGGACACCAAATAGCAAACCGTGGCGCCATGGTGGGGGGTCCAATGTTGAAAAAGGGGTCCAGTTGCTTAAGACTTGCCTTTGGCGTCTCACGGATCGATCGAGAACGAGGGCCTCCTGCTTTGGATGGTTTTAGAGGGACAGGACTTTAACTTCTTGCCGACTCATGGGTGTTCCATTAAACCGCTAAAAGTTTTCAACTTTTAGCAAGGGAGCAGAAAGCAACCGAGTTGCAACCATGGCTTTTGTGGGTTACCGTGGTTATTAGCTTCTATGCACAATGCCCCTTTAAGTACGTTTCACTTTTTTTCGCTGAAAGGAATCTTGTGTTCATTTTTCCCTTGTTGGTTGTAAAGGGAAACTATCGCTACTGGATAATTTTCCAATTTGTTCCAGGGGGCTAAAGCAAATGGAAGATGACTTTGCAAAGATCGGTTTGCATATTCCCGCAGAGATGGGTTTGAAGGAAACCACAGGGAAGCAACCCATTTGAACAGGTCCCCTTTTTTGAGAAACAAATGGGTTTCCCAGATCTCCCGTGAACCGTTTCGCCTTTTACGCTGTTTTTTCTTGTCAGCGACCAACAGAAGAGTGCCGTTTTGCTCCCACCACTGGAGGTTTGGGTGTACACCTCTGTAATGCAACCATGGTATGTTCTTATCGTGTCAAGGGTGTCATGGTTATGTCATGGTTATATCATGGGTATGTGATGGTCATATCATGGTTTTGTGATGGTTTTGTCATGGTTATGTCGTACGCCATGTCATGATCATGGTTATGTCGTGCGGTACGCCATGGTCATCTCGTACGCTATGTCGGGTTTTGTTGAACTGCTTTTTGTCCTTTCCATCTGCCTTCCCGTCTTATTTGTCCGTCCGTCCTTCTGTGTGTCTTGCTTGTATGCATGTCGCCTGTCTGCATGTATGTAATAATGTCTGAAATGTATGTAAGCATGCAAATAGATGCAATGTATGTAGTGCATGCAATGAATCTAGTGGCAAAGCATATAATGAACATACATCACGAACACTTGTCATACTGTATGTGTATCAGTATTATTTGTCTGACAGAAGTCGGGTCTTTAGGGTTCTCGAAATGCTCTGCACCTAAGTCAACTGTGACAGCCATGCCAGTGCGCACACCCGAAAATCAGCACAGCGAGTCACAGTGCCTCCGGCAACAGACTTGTCACTTCGGCGAACCATTGCCGCCGCTGCTTTTCATGGACGTGGTCGGCAATGTGCTCAGCCCAACACATATTTTTTGCGTAGCCTCACCCGCGTTGAGCGATCTATGGCGGTGGTACTATTTGTATTACTAGGCAAGATGTAGTACACATATAGGCTCACTAAAGGTTTCCAGGAGTTGCCTGGGGTTCACTGGGGGCAAAGCTAGCCACTTGGCGATTTTCGGACGAAGTGCGGCGGCCCAGCGATCGCGCGCGCGCGCGCGTACGCGCTCTGTCGGAGGCTGGGAGCCGGCTTTTCTTTGCCGCGTTGCGGGACCGGAACAGGCGCCGGGAGCTTGATGTGTCTCAACGAATACCTCTTGGCCCTAAGGGACACGCCCCGAAGGGAAGATCTGTGGGTATGAGGGGTCCTTGTTTGCTTCCCTTGGCGGTTGAAGGATCCCATGAAGCATCTTGATTTGGCCGTCTATGTGTTGGAAGCCAGGAAAGAGCGTTGGGCCGCTTTGGAAGATCAGGCGAGCGCGAGCTTCGTCCCGTTTGAAGACGTGAGCAAGGGACAAAGTCAGCTCGTAAAAGTGTCATTGAGTTTGAGGTTTCTGGCCGACTGAGTTCAGCGCCCTGGAATTGTGTTGGGTCAATGGGTCAAAGGTTGTTTTGATGTCCAACTTATGGATGACCATTCTGATCAAGACTTTCTCCATCATATCAGCAGCTGGTCGTCGGTTTTTAGTTTGGGGAGAACGGGGGAGGGGGGGAACCTAATTTCTCTCCATAGGGAAGCCGCTCGAATCAGTGGACGTTTTCGGACTTTCAGAACGGAGAGGCAGTCTTTGGCCGCTTTGCGAAAAACGCCCAGATTGATCACCTCACGGGGGCCCGACCTCTGCTGCGGGCCTTGCCAGAGGCGCGGGGGAGCGCTGAAAAGCAGTTTACTTCTATTTGCTCAAGCATGTGTTTTATTTTCTCCCCCTTTTTTTCTTCTTCTTCCCTTGTTGGTTTTAAAAGGACTTTATCACTACTGGACATATTTTTATTTTTTCCAGGGGTCTTAGCCAAATGGAAGTTTATGACAAGCCACAATCAAAGCCCGTGCAAGTGAAGGTTAGTAGGGGATGGTCCCAACCAGAAATAGGTGCGGCCGCCTTTGCGATTCATTGCGTGGGTTTGGGTATGCCATTTCGATACCAGGTTTTGATTGTGACTCAGGCGCCATCGGTTTGCGAGCGCCCAAGTTAGGGCTTGCGTTTTGTAACGGATGCTCAGAGCATCTTGAGATCCGGATGCGTTTCTTTGCAACAACTCCCGTGCGGCCCAAACGAACGCGATTGCGTAGCTTGAGCTGGTTGCAGGGCTCGGCAGAGCCGACCACTGCCGCGTCGCTGGAATCCTGTGCGCCAGAGTTGGATTGTTTTCTTCTTTTTTTTCCGCTTCGGTCAGAAGGAAGCCCAAAGAACCAGACCACTTGGGGCCGCTCTCAGGGCCTCGGATTGTGATTCGCCCATTGGTTCTCAGTGAGACGTTGCCAAAGCAGTTGGTGCTTCGAATGGCCGAAGATGTCAAGGCAGCCAGACATTTTTTGATTTCTCTGCGGCAGTGCATTTTTCGTGTTCTGTAGACCTGTGCTTGTCTTTCCTGCTGTTCTAATGCATTCCTGTGCTTCCAAAAACAAACCCTCGAGAATTCCAAACAATCCAAAACCACAACAAAAAACGCAGGAACTACAAGAACCAACGAGTCGAATTATCATACAGCTGTGCCATTGGATCAAGCCTGCCCAAAACTCACAATCAAAACTCCTCGAGAAAACCAAAAAACAAACCAACAACCACAAAGACCACACTCTGTCTAGAAGTTGCAGGGAAAGCCGTTTTTCTTGTTTAAATTCTTGCTTTCTCGATGTGATTTGGGTTTCTGGTTTTCGGCAGGGATTTGTGTATATGGAACTGAACTAATACTTGAAATTCCAGAGTTAATGTTTGTTTAAGTATGAATGGTGTGTAAATGAACTCTATTAGAAGGAATCCTGTGTAAAGTCGAATCTGACATGACATGATTCTTATTCGATGTCTAGTTTACAAGAGAGATTCCGATTGGATTCTTTCCTTCACAAATTCTACTTAAACTCTAATTGAAATGTAAAGTTCTATTTGGCAACGAACTCTATGCACATTCCAAATTCCCGATAGAATATCCAATAGCATTCGGAATAAGTATGTCCTTATTGAGCCCTACTGTGGATGGACACAATCCTGCACCACTTCGAAACCATGGAAAACAATTGTTTCTTGGTATTTGCGGGGGAATCGAATCATTTCAGGGATCCTTAGGTGCTGGATTTGTCCATCCACAGTATTCAGAGGCCATTGGTGAAGATGTGAATATTCGTACAACATCCGCGACAAAACACTGTGTGTTTACAGTGCTTTCTGACCATGGTAGTGCTGAGGGCTAGGTAAAAACACTTCTACTCAATTTCCCACTGAACTAAAATTGAATTTAGTAAGATATGGCCATGGGTCAAAAGCCCGTACCCCCAGCGAACATCCCAATCCCCACTAAAATAGACTAAAATGGGTGGTGCACCTACCCCAAAATGGGATCCCATTGGTTTTGACCCACAGCCATATGTACCAATTATATATGTTTTCTTTAACTTACATTATAATTTGAATAATCCGTACTCTATTTCAGCTTAAACGTTTATACAGGATTTTACAAATCAGTTAACATTTAAACACACTTTGTCACACTTTGCCACAGCTTTGGAGAGCGATGCTGCTCGCCATTCATGAGTCAGGTATTTTTCACGTGGTGCTGCACAAGCGCTTTCCGGTGCTTCATCCTGCAGTGACAGAGGACGGGGCGTTCTTTCAGGGTACCCGGTGTTTGGGTTTGCACCTCGCAGAGTATTCGTCCGGACGGCCAACATCCTGTTGGGGATGCACCACCCACTGGTGCAGGACTTCCTTCCACAGCAGCAAGAAACCTCTGAACCAACTTCAAAAGCTGAACATCTCGATAGCCCGTTGCTTCAACCACCAATTTTGTTTCATCCCACTCAGGGACATTTCCCTGCTCTGAAACCAGGCTAGGTGAAGTAAGCTCGTCACGAGGCCGCATTACTTTCCGGCTCGGGAGTCGCATCCGCATGGCACCTCGTTGCTGTTTGGGGCTCCCAATGATCTCCCAAATACAAGGCAATGTTCAGGTGTATAATGTAAGGATCCCTGAAATGCCTGGCGATTTTGGCACGTTTTTGGTTGTATCGGGCCTTCAGGGAGCTGAGTTTGAGCTACGCACAATGTGACTATAGATGCAATGAATTCTGTGTCGACTACGAGAAACACAGCTTTGAAAACAACGCGTATCGATGTGGTCCATGAAGGGACCCCTCCCCCCCAGAAAAATAAGACGCACACACACACACACCCATATTGTTTGTGGCGCACTTGACCGCAGGCCTTTGCCTCGTACTTCGGCTTGGGTGCCTTGACACAGCCGCCAGCTCAGCTGCCATCCCGAGCGGGAGCGCAGCTTGCGAGGAGACGAGGTCCACTCGAAGGCAAGTTGGGTGCTCTCTGAGCACCGAAAAGCCAGTTGAAGGCGGTGCTAGTTGACAAGCAAGCTGGGCAAATAGTCCCACCTAAACCAACATAACCAGGTTTGATCTGGAAATAGGTTAAAGTAGGGTGATTTTCATTCTGGGCGAAATCCCAATAATGGGAACACCTTGGCTTATTTGAAAGACAAAAACACCCGGCCATTTTTCTCAAGGTACTCGGCCGCGGAGCTGCGGCACTTCTGGATTGCCAAGGCCTGGGAGAGATTCGAGGGGCCCAAGGGGGGGGGGGTTGTTACAGCCCAAACGATTCAAAAAGGGGGGGGGGGCAGGAGTTTGTTTCACCCCCTCGTGCTCTCACGAAGGAATTATGCGGAACTAGTTGCACAATCCCAGAGAAGCGCATGATCGCGCGATGGGGTCTCACATCATTTCCAAGCGATGTAAATGTAGGCACTGCTGCTTTGCAAGTTCGCTTGCCGCAAGCTCGCGGGGGGTCCCCTTACCGTCTCTTGAGTCTACTTGCCCTGACCTGCCAGCTTGCCGCCCTTTGCCCAGCCTGGGACCTAGCCGATGCGTCCTTATGCCAAGTAAGAGTGTCTTTCTTTGGTGGTACCAGTTTTGTGGCTGGCTCGAAGGGAAACCAAAAGGAAACTCCCATTTTGGGGTTCCCCTATTTTGAGACAAACCCAAATGCCAGTGGGAGGATGCGATTTGCAGTGCAGGGCATTTGTCCGCCTGGATATTCCATTGCAAGCGCCCGAGTGGGAAACCAATTCGCGGGAGTTGGCAGGTGTTTGACCTCGCTTGCAGAGAGCGCCCATTTAAGGTGCCAAACGGCTGGGAATTCAAGTTCGACGAGACCTCAATGTCGGCCGTGCCCTTATTGAGCTTGACGCCCGTGCGCGCATGTAGCCTGAGAGCGGATTGCAGCTACAAGCCTCAGGCTGTGTTTGTTGACCAAGAAGCCGGAACGGTTGTCCTGACTCGCTTCTGCTAATGGCCGGAAACGACTTGCCTTGAAGATCCGATCTAGTTGTAGTTGACCCATCATTGCCCATTTGCCTGGCCGGGTGGATGCCCGCAGTCATTTTGAACCGCCATGCTGGATTTGCCTTGCTTTGCTCTGCTTTGCCTTGCTCTGCTCTGCCTTGCTTTGCTCTGCTTTGCTCTGCTTTGCTCTGTTCTGCTTTGCTCTGCTTTGCTTTTCTTTTCTTTGCCTTGCTCGCTCGCTCGCTCGCTCATTCGCTCGCTCGCTTCATTCGCACGCTCGCTTCATTCGCTCGCTCGCTTCATTCGCTCGCTCGCTTGCTCTGCTTGAGCTGCTTGCTTGCTTGAGCTGCTCGCTTGCTTGAGCCGCTCGCTTGCTTGAGCTGCTTGCTTGCTTGAGCTGCTTGCTTGCTTGAGCTGCTTGCTGGCTTGAGCTGTTTGCTTGCTTGAGCTGCTTGCTTGCTTGAGCTGCTTGCTTGCTTGAGCTGCCTTCTTGCTTGCTTGCTTGCTTGCTTGCTTGCTCGCTCGCTTGCTCGCTTGCTTGCTTGCTTGCTTGCTTGACTTTCAAGACAACCCAAGGATTGCCCATGGATTGCCCACGCATTGAGTCGTATTGGAAGCCAAGCAGTTGTTGGCTTTGCGAGGGACGCGATTTCCACGCCAATCTTGCGACTCTTGTAGCCTGTTTTCGATTTTGGCATTTGGCTCGCGGACAGCCTTCATGACCCCAAAGTCCGGGGGGAATCGCAAAGTGGCTAGAACCCTCCCCCCCCCATTTAACCCTCTGTGAACCCTTGTAACGCGGAGGACAGCCACGAGATGTTTTGAGCCCTTAACGTTTGACAAGCATCGCCAAATCCTGAACGTTTTCCGGATATTTGTCATCTTCGGCGCGAGACTCTCTCGAAAAAGATGTTCATGGTGCTATGACATGGGGAACCGCTAGTGGTTGGTGCTAAATGATGTCCACCAAAGAGTGCCCAAGTAAGATTAATGCCCAATGGTTCTAGTGACATTTTCTTGACCATGAGTCACATTTGACAATAGATCAGCAAGCAGCCAGACAGCGGATACCTTGAACCATTCACGATTTCCTGCCACAGTTTTCCGATGCAGGGTCCAAGCAGGTGTCTGGCCAGCTTGCCACTCTTGTCACAAGCCTGCACCGTGCCAACATCTCATCCGTCTGGGCACAAGAAGGCCAGGGGGACCTTTTCTTGTTTGGAGGTTTCCCTTTGAAACGGGCCCCCAAAACGAGTACCCGCAAGAAAGACATGATCAGAGCTGTCCTTTAACACAGCCCTTTACAGTACGTGGCCCTGGACGGTTTGGCCAGGCGTCGCGGCACCACCCCATGGACGCCTTCTTCGCAGGCGCCCCCGGGCGTCGATTTCTGTGGGGTTTCGCCGGGCCGTTCGTTTCGAACCGGGAAGCCGCACGTATGCCTCCGGATTTGGGGGCGGATGAACACCCATGCACCACCCATTTTGATGGTTCACCAGGGGTTTGCCCTGGGTTGGCTTTGACCCACAGCCATCCATGAGTTAGAAGAATCCAAGGGAAGCAATGAGAAGGCTGCAAGCTCGAAGTTTCGGCATTTGGGAGCTTGGGGATGAGAGGACACGCTGGGGATGAGGCTTTGGGGTAAGGCTGTGCCTTTCCTTTTGGCTCCGCGTGCCCTGTGTACAAGCCCGGGTTCCTGTTTGTGATTCTCACGCAAGACACGTGCTGCAGAGCACAATCTGAGGGGCACACCGGTTGGGAGGCGTTACCTCTTGCTTGTGGGGCTTTCACTCAATGCTCCAAGGATTGGTTCCGGACATGAGGTAATTCGTCTTGACAAATGGGGATTGACAAATTAAGGCGTCCGTGTTGGGACCTTTGTGTCATTTGATGTCGGCTTTCAGGTGCGGTTCGGGTTCCAAACAGGGTCACCGGTTTGTCAACTCATATCATTTGTTTGGGTGTGTGTGTGTGTGTGTTTGCTTTTGTGAGGACACCCCTTTTTGGGGTTGTTTCAAAGGGCAAACCTAAGAACGCCACCCATTCCGAGGGTTTCACCGACCCTCCCAAGGAAGTGCACAGACTTCTGGATTGCGTTTGAGAAGAGAGCTTGCACACGTCGTTTCCAGGAGCAAGTTCTCCATTCCACCCCTTTTTGGGTCCCTTTCTCCAGAATCTCCGGTCAGGTTTCATGTAGATTCTATGCCCAGTGATTCATCAGCTCCCCTTTTGAAGATTCCGGACAACTCTCCCTAAACTGGGGTCAGACAATCTATCAACTCCTATAGGTCCTTGGGAAGGTAGGACTAAAAATATTCACGTAGTCTCGCCAGCAAACTGGGGGGGGGGGGTCATACAGATTTTAATCATTGACATTGACGTTCTCATTGTCATTATCATCGTCCTTGTCATTAGGGTCATACTAGATAGGGACGAAAACCCCCGCAAAATTAGGGAAAGCGGATCCGGTTCTTGGAAAGAACGATGGAAAACGAGCAAAGCTTCGCAGAATCTGAAGACCAAAGCCTCCCATCAGCGGGCTCTGTGAGCTGCCTGGGAGGTCTCTTGGAGCGGCTGCTCTCGCGGCATCGGAGCATCGAGGCGGCGGAGAGCCGCGCCGGGCAAGCGGGGCTCAGCGGCCAGGCCGGGGGACGGGGGTCTGGACCGGAGGAAGATGCGGGGAGGTCGTGTTATTTGGGGGACCCCCACAGACCCAAAGATGGATGCCGGGGGGGGGGGGGTTGGCTTCCCTTTTTTCAGCCAACGTTCAAACAGAAGACTTTTTGTTGGCCTCCCTTCAAAACAAAGGTGAAGACGAAAAGGAAAGTTGCCGCGCCGGTTTTGCTTAGGGTATCGCTTTAACGCCAATGCAGAGCTGGGCCATTTCCCTGGCACGCCAGCCAGTCCACTGCCTGCGTGTCACTTGCTGCGCCGTCCACCTGCGAGCTGCCCCAGACAACCCCGAGCCCGGGCGGGCAGGCGTCCAACCCCCCGCTCCACGCCCTGTGTGTGTGTGTGTGTTGTCTCTCCCCAACAGCTGAAAGCTATGGGGTCTTTGCCCGGAGAGGCCCATGTCGACCTCAGTGAAGAGCCACAGATGGCAGTCGTTGGAGACTAGGATTGGGAACCTGTTGAGAATGGATGATGTGCACTGGGTTTTGGGTTTTGGCGAGATTTTCACTGCGCGTTCAACCTGCCCAGTTCAAGTCACCAAGGTTGTCGGGAAATTGATGCGCCATAAGCTACTTTGGGTGAATGAAACAGGACTCCAACACAGCAGGTTTTCTTGCTTAACATCAATGAGCTGGCTGAGGGTTCGACGTTTCCGTCGTTCAGATTGTCTTCTTTCTGGACTCGCGGAACGGGTCCCCCTACTGGCTTCAGTCGGCGCCCAAGTCGCAGGTGAATGCATGGGCCTTCAGGTGGTTGAGTATTGGGTATCTTTTCACCCAGGATTGATAACACCCTGGTTGACTCATTGCGGGAAGTCTGGCATCCGTTGAATTGCAGCAGTCAGTATCAGATACAAGTGACGCAAGACCCTCCGGCAACAAGTTGTCAGTTGGCCTTGGGGCAGAGGTTTTGCGGTGCCTCATTTTTTCTCACCAATTAACATGGAACCTGACGTCCTGGGTGGCTTGGAGAACCCTACTAAACCCTAAACCCCTAAACCACCAACCCCCTAAACCCTAAACCCTAAGCCATCCAACGTCAGGTGGTATCGGACCTGCTTAGCACAGCCATGCGCCAGGTACGGGCAGGGAGTACCGTGGACAGGCACTCTCCCATGGAGGGAGAGGCTTCTGCAGGCCGCAGCTGGGAGCCGAGCGGAATGAAGTACCTTTGGTGGGAACCCCAACACAAAAACAGTTTTTGGATCTTGCGGAAGTTTTTGTCGCTCGTTTTTTTGGATCTTACGGAAGTGTTTGTCGCTAGTTTTTGGATCTTACGGAAGTTTTTGTCACTAGTTTTTTGGATCTTACGGAAGCTTTTGTCGCTAGTTTTTTTGGATCGTACGTGTTTGCGACAGCCTTTGCGACAAGAGTTGAGATAGTTCAAGGCCTTCTGCCAGCCTCCTGTTTGTTTGGGGGAATGGCAAGTCACATTTCTGTACCGACTGTCATGTCGGTTGGCCTTGACTCATGCGGATGCTGCTGCTCATGAGAGATGTTTTTGGGGTCAGGGAGTGTGTTGAAAAGTAGCAAGAGCCAGGTTCCCTCTAATTGATGGTTTGGATTGGTGGTTTGGGGATTTGACCGCCTGGCTTTGAGGGAAGCTGAGAGCCAGGAAAGCCTTTCTTTTCGCCAAGGGATGTTAGGACTTGAACTTTTTGCCCACTAGTTGGTTTTCCGTATTAAACCACTAAGAGTTAAACTTCTGGCAGGGGAGCAGAAAGCAACTGAGTTTTGGAAACCCCATGGACTGAAACCCAGTGGTTGATTTCCCCCAAAAGGGAAACCCCTGGGTTGAATAATCTAGTCTACCTTGGGGTAGTCATGAAACTGAAATCTGCCAACGTGCAGAAGCCGTCGATCGAGATCATAGTACTGCGAGTAAGCTGTCTAGTTGAGCTCTTTTTGATTGAGAGCGCAGACACTGGAAGAAGAGCTAAGAAGGCGTGACATAGACGTACAGGCTACCCACCAGGTGTGCGGTGCTTCATCTCCATCAAGATGCGAGTTTAGCCCAGCATCTTGATGTCGCATTTCCGCTCAAGGTTCACCCCAATAGTTGCTCCTTGGGGACTTCAGTATCCCAATCTTTCAGTCGAGAAATTGCGTACCCACAGTCACAGCCCTATCCGAGGTTAGGCTTTACTGGCAAAAACGGACATGCTAGCACTTGTCTTATCTCTCAGTTCCTAACACTGCTTTGTGCCCAGAGCTAAAGTGGGTCCTGCAAGGCCAGAACATAAATGTCTAGTAGCATGAACACCTTTTGCTTCTCACCTCATGCCGGCATGGAACAAAGTCGCTATGGCTGTCAGCATGATCAAATAGCAGGGTCAACTCACTTGATCGCTCATGAGATTGAGGGTCTACTTCTTCCTTCAATGGAGCCAAGTGCGAGGGTTTCCCTTTGTCCCATGGCCACCACTGGCTGCCAGTTGTGGTCCCTGAGGCCCGACCAGCGCCAGCTGGGCCAAGTCAAGGACGGGCGAGAAACGGAGCTGATGTCTTGGGAAGGACCTGCCGAACGTGAACCCAGGATGCCTCAATTTCCAGTGGACAACTAGAGTGGGTTGGGGGTGTTGCAACCCAATTTGGCGGCGACTGCTTTTTTCCCCCACGTTTTGCAGCATGCTCAAGGCGACTTGTTGCGGGGTCCTTGAATCTTCTATTTGGTTGCAAGGCCTGTTGCCTGCCAAGTACTATTGACCGCGGACGAGTCATCCAGGCGAATCAATGCGTGTTCGCTTTCCAAATGTGTAGCAGCCCAATTAAGAGGTTAGCTAATCAACCCTAAACCCTAAACCCTAAACTCACATGAATAGGGGGTTACTTGATGTTCTCCCTATTCAGAGGTAGGTTACAGATCATTGGCGCTAGGTTACTTTGCGCTTTCCACGCTTTGAACTCGCCACTGCCAGACATGCGGAAGAACACTCACAAGGAGACCAGTTTAGCGCCATGTACATGCCTTCCGAATGATACTCACACCAGTTCAAGAGCCCTCGCAGCACTGCGCACATGCCTTCCAAATGTAAGTCGCTCAGTACCGCAGACATGCCTGCTAAATGACAAGGATACCCGCTCGGAACCAACTGCACCCATGCCGCTGAATGATCATCACACCCACTCGCGTGCTTCCTGCTACCGACTCCGCACATAACAGGCAAATGAGAAGCACGCAAGACAACGCGTGACAGTCATTGAGTCATTCTGCTTTCTTGAGGCCAAATGCCCAAATATCTTCATGTTCAAGTTCTTTGTATGCATCAATCCACCTCCGAAGGTTCGATCATGTGCTACTTTTTCCCAGGCCGGCTTTGAAAGCGGACCTGCCAAGAACCTCGCGTCCTTTCAGACCCCCCTTTTGCTCAAGGAAGCCCGACAGGAACAGACCAGCCTCTCGAGGGTCAAGTCTGCCGGCCGCTTCAGGCGCTCCGCCCGAAGCCCCTTCGCACGAGGGGCTCAGGGACGCTGCCCGAGCCACGTGAGGGCCACGGATTGGGTTAGACTGGAAATTCCATCAACGGTGTCCGTAGTCTGCTTAGAATTTGAGGGATTCTGGGTTTTAGAATGATTTTCGTCTATTCCAGAAGGACACCTATGCCAAGCCAAGCGAAACCATTCCAGAAAAAGTGGGGGCAACATCTCAGGGGCCCAATGAACTGAACTTCCACAGGGGCAAAGCATCGTGAAGTCTGCAGTGAAGTTCCAGGATTCGGGTGCAAAGTGGTTGCACCTCAACACAGTTCTCGCAAGTCTCAGGATGTCGCTGTTGTATTAGCAGCTTGTTGGTTTTTCCTCGGTTTTAGCTCCATGGGTTCTGCACAAACAAATTGGGGGCCTCTGAAATTTTCAGTGAACCCCTTGTTGGATCCCTAGAGGCGGCATGGGCTCAAAAGGGCCATGGGTGGGCAGGCGGGTCAACATCCTGATTCCCTCTACATCCCGCTTTGTTTGGCTCATTGAGGATAAACCCCAAGGATCCAATTGTTTGGAATGAAGTGGACGCCTCTCGACGTGCACGGTCAAAAGTACCTTCCTTCAGGGACCGGGGGCGGGGGGGCGAACCCAAGCCGTCGCAGCCTTTAGGACCTTCCGAACTGGGGTTCCACAGGTAGTTACCTTGCTGGTGCGATAGGTAGGGTTTGGGAATGAGTCGGTTTTGGGGGAGTTCCCTTAAAGGATCGAAGCCATAGCGCATTTCTTTTTTTTGGGGGTCGTCCCCTGCTTCCCTGAGCACCAGCAAGTACAGTGAACCCCACAAAAGCCCGCGCGGAGGCCGGCGGTTTCTCTCCGGCAGACGGCCAGCCAGGAGCAAGCGGAGTGGGTGTGAGGTGAGCCACGTGCTCAAAACCGATTCGGGTAGATGAAGAGGGCTCCTTACGAGATACATGTTGCCCATTTTAAACATGGCATTTTCCGCCAAAACAAAGGGACACCACCATTTACAAGGCAATGTTCAGGTGCCTGATGAACGTTAGTACGGGATACTCCCAACCATAGCTGCGGATTTCCGCCCTCTGAGTTCTTGAAGCATGGTTCTGGGATTACCATTTGGATACCGAGTTTGTGAGTATGACTCATGTCTATGTCAAGCTTGCGCTGGGGGATGCGAGGGCCCTTTTGTTCAAGCTGCCGAAGCAGTCCCTTTTGGACCCCGTTTGCGCTGAATGCCTCACCGCTTCCGCTGGAGTTTCTTTGCTCTTCAGGCTTGGGGATTGGACGTCCGGAGTTGGGAGCAGAAGGTATGGCCGTTTTGTTGGGTGCAAAGTTCTTGGGGATGCTTGGGAGTGAACCTGGGGGAAACCGTGGAAATGATGCGGAAATGGTTGGGGGGAAAAATCCAAAAACCACATCTGAACACCACATCCCAAAATAAATCCGCACCCAATGGTTTGCAAGGGTCATTGCAATTCTCATTCCCTGCATCTCTTTTGCGCCGAGGGCAAGTTTTGCAGACGCGAGGCCTGGCTTGGTTTCATTTTTCTAGTGCTACCTTCCCCATTCTTTCCAGGGATCCTTCTTTCTAGGAAACCTCCGGAAACCCAGGGAAACGGATCCGGGGTTTTCGAAAAGAGCGAAGAATGGGAATCAACGGCCTCAGAACTTTCCAATTTTTTTCCCTGCGCTCCGCGTCAAACAAAAAGCGCGCCCGCGCCTGCGCTCCGAAGGAGGCCGCTCGGCCCAAGTTGCCGGCGCCGCCGCCGCGGGGCGGGCTCACGCCAGTGGCGCCGCCCACTCCCAAGGAGCCAGCCACGCCCAAGCAGCCAGCCACGCCCAAGGCGCCAGAGCCAGGCACCCCCAAGCCGGAGCCTCGGTTTGGATGGGGGACTCGGGGACTGGAACCGACCTTCCGTTGGACAAGCAACCTGTCAAGCAACCTGGAAAGCCGGCCGTGAGTTGCAAACGGTCTTTGAACTGCGATGATCCAAGGCCAAGGGACACCAACAGTTGCTTAAACAATCATAGTTTGGACATCTCCTCTTCAGACGGTTTGGATCCAGCTAGCCCGGGTCCGAAAGTGAGGGGAGTCAAATCGGCACCCGCTGTTTTGCTCGCGAGACACGTTTTGGATCTTGCCGGGCGGAGGATGGACACTGGCCGCGAGCGAACAACACCGCGAGAGGCGAGTCAAGTTGCCTGACTTTGAGCGAGTTGGCCATTTCCTGATACAGACTTCTCTTTGGAGGGTACCCCTTTTGGAAGTTGTTTAGGGAAGCCAAAAGGACACCGCCCATTTTTGTTTGTCTCAAACCGAAGGGGAACCCCATGGATGGTGTCCTCTTGACTTCCACAAATAGACACTGAATATTGTTGGTTCCTGCTGGTAGTTTCCTTTCGAGAGCATCCAAAAAGGGGTGTTTTTCTATTCGTTGAACATTTGTTTTAGGAAACAGGTGCCTGCCCCTGCCAGAGGGGCAATATATGGTCAGGGCCTTTCCTGGCCATTTTTGGATCTTATACTTTCCCTGGCATTGGTGGCGCGCCTGTGCACTCTGGAAGTGACTTGTCCAGTCCGCCATTTTTGTGGGAGCGCCATCGGGAATTTATTTTGCAGGCGATGTAAGTGACTGTCAAAATCAGTCTTAAGGATCACACAGCCGTCTTGGGGCCAGACGTTTCTATAAATTTGCTGCAGCGCGCAGACAGCGATTCCACATTTTGAAGTGACCAAGCTGTTTGTTTTACATGCGGCAACCATGTCACGGGGGCCTTAGGGCCATGCTCGCAATAGAACAGTTCCAGCAGGTTGGTTTCCTTTTGCTTTCTCAAGACTGCCATCCCAAACGCACTGTCTTGGATTCCAACAAATGGCCATGGGTCAATTCGTTTGGGACCTCCACATGGTGGGTTTCATGTTTGACCGACCCAACTCAACAGAGTCCAGTTTCTTGTCACCTTTCCCTCACAGGCCGTCTCCGGCAGCGAGGCGCCACCTGCAGGGTACCGGAGAGGGGGCGGGGGTGGACAACCAGCGAGATTGGTTTTCCATATAATGACTGCTGCTGGGCCCAACACTCCACCTGTTTCAGGCAGCAGGGTTTACCAGCATATTTTTCGTGCCCTTAAATCAAGAGTTCCATATTTGTGCTTTCTGACCGTTGAACGAATCCTCTCGGTAGAGATCAAGGTAGCAAAGGAATGGGAGGTTCCTTGTATCTGGGACGGCTGGCTAGCCTTAGTGGCCATTTTTGATGGAAGGGTATCGCGAAAGCTTAGCACAGGATTTTGCGCGTGCTCGGATACCACAAAGGTCCGTTTCGTCAGATCGTCATAGCAACCCCGCTTTTGACCACGGGTCCAAACTGACGTGAACATGCTGGCCATGGCTGCATTGCCATTGGCTGAAGCGTCCGGATGGGTCCCTCAACCCAAGCTGATAGCTATCGTTGAAATCACGAGCTTTGAGTGGGCAGTAAACTCATGTGAGTTGAATCGCCCATGGCTGTCACAGACTGCCAGGGAGAAGGCCCCGGCCAAGCCGGAAGCCGAGCTTATGAGAAGCAGATCGGTGTTTCTTTCAAAATGAGGCACCCCCTTCAGGTGTTTGCTTTTTTTCCCCCTCAAATCCATGCAAAAGGGGGACCCCTATTTTGAGAGATCCACACATGAGCGTGGCCCCTCCTGTTTTTGTTTTGGTTTTTATGATATCAAAAACAAATGGAAACCGAAGTGCACGTTGCTGGTATGTGTACTCCCCCTAATTTGGGCTGTTTTGGGTTGCTTCGAAGGGGAACCAAACGCCAAGCCCGAAAATCTGGGTGACGTGGAGACACACCCCGGAGAAAACATCGGCCGGGTGCGGCAGTAAGCTGGGAGAACATGTTTTCTTCGATTTCGTTGTGGAAGGACCTGGGTATGCGTAAAGTATTGGCCCCCCCCCCCCCCGCGTTTTTTTTCTTTTTAACCCAATGAATGTTGCGGTTTTTATTAAACAAACGCAATGTATGTAGCATCTTGGGGGCCCTTTGTTTCTTTCACTTTGCACAGGAGACTGCCAGGCGCAAAAAAAGTTGACAGCTCGCCGGCAGGCCGCGGCGCCTGAGCCGGGTGGAGAGGGCCCTGAGGCCCCTGCGCAGGCGGGACGAGGGTTGTGTTTCTCCAACTTCTGTGATAAAAGGGATCTCCCCGTTATGGGGGGTTAGTCTTTGGGAAGCCAATTTGTGTTGTATCATAGAAGTGGTCATTTCCCAGAGCCCTGTACTGCATGTTCTGAGGAAGGAGTTGGCACGTATCAAAGCACACATACATATCACAGTGAATGATTCCTCACCTGCGTGAAGGGGATGGGGCATTCAAGTGCGAACCAGGCATCGGAGATGGTGGAGGCGGCAGATGTGCAGTCCACAGATCCCCTGGCTGTGGCGAGCGCAAACCAGGCATCGGAGATGGTGGAGGCGGCAGATTTGCAGTCCACAGATCCCCTGGCTGTGGCAAGTGCAAACCAGGCATTGGAGATGGCGGAGCCCGCAGATTTGCAGTCCACAGATCCCTCGGAGCCAGCGGTAGCTGAACCGGCATTGGTTGAACCAGCCGTGTCTGATCCAAGCGACGCAGGGATCGTTTCCGCGCCTGATCCACCAGCGCCTTCTGAAATGCCCTTGGAGGCGCCTGAGCCGGCGCCGGCCGCGCCAGCGGCTCCCGACCCGCCGGCTCCCGTGGAAGCTGCCGCTGCCGACGCGGCCGAAGCTGCCGGCGTCGCAGCGCCGGCGCCGGCGCCAGCGCCGCCCTCGGCGCGTCCGGATGCGGCGCTGCCGGCGCCAGAGCTGCCGGTGCTGCCGAGCAAAGACGAGGAGAGTGAACACTTAATGAGCCCAATTTCTGGGAGTGGCCAAGGGCGCCCTCAATATATATATATATATATTCATATATACACACATGTATGTATATATATATAAAATACATATGTATATATATATATATGTATGTGTATATATATATGTATATACATATATATATATATATATCTACATGCACCTCGAGAAGTCATGGGCAAAAACTGGTATCACCCCGGTGGCACATTGCTGCGAGGAGGTGGCAGAGAAGGTCCTGGCGCCTCACTGGACGCAGCGGGGCGGCAAGTGGCAGGCGCGGGGCTCCCGGCTCTCCAGCGACGAGGGGGAGATGGACGAGGACGACGAGGCGCTGAAGAAGCGCCTGGAGAAGGCGGGTGGGGTGAAGTCAAGGGAGCAAAGCAGAGGGGGGGTGACTTTTCGGGCGGAGTGACTTTACAGTCAGATAGAGTTACAATGTACTTCAGTTTGGTACTTTTGATAAGTTTAAGGCGGGGGGGGGGGGGGAGGGGTGAAGTATCTAAGCGTGCGAAAGCCAAATGCGACAGACTGGTAGGGTTCTGGCTTGGACCATCTTATGGCAGCCCTGAAAGGGTGCCCTCAAACAAACATGACACACACACACACACGCAAACACATATACTTGCATATATGTTATATATATATATATACATGCACAGATACAAACATGTGTATGATATGAATAATCAATCACTAAATAACCAACTACTAGCCAAATACACAAAACACACATTCCTATATTATATGACCAGCTGTATAGATTAACTAACTAGCCAAATAAACAAATATCACTATGTAAATAAACAACTAAAGAAACAATTAAGTAAATAAATTGACAACTCGCCATACATGCAGCGTCCCCAACCCCCCCCCCCCCTCCTGCCCCAGCCATTGTCGTCTCCCCCCCTCTATTCCTTTGGTGCTGTGGTTGGTGCAGAGTTGGCGTAGGATGGTCACATGAGCCACGTCAAAACCCGGGTAGATGAAGGTTAGCAAGGGACGATCCCAACCAGAAATAGGTGCAGGCGCCTTCTAAATTCTTCACATGGTTCTGGCTAGACCATTTTAATACCGGGTTACATGCATAGGTGTCCTTTTTGGTTGGCTAGAAAAATCGCATGGCGATTCCTGGTTTCCCTGGTGGTTTCAGCCCATCCATTTCCCCTAAAAGGACACCTATGGTCATCATTCTTTTGGTTTCCCCGAGCAAAAAAAGCCGTGGAGGCCCAGCGCGCCGCGGACCGGCGCGCCAAGTCCGGGAAGCTCCGGGACCGCGTGGCGCGGTTCCAGTCCGACGAGGAGCGCTCCGCCTCCGGGGAGCAAAGCCCGGCGGTGGCCTCGGGGAGGCAGAGCCCCAGGCGCGGCGCGGCGGAGTTTTTTCCTTCTTTTAATTGTGGTTTTTTGGGGGAAACCTGGAATATCACGGGTTCTTTTTTTTTTTTGGGGGGGGGGAGACCTGGGAGTTCATGGGTTTGGTTTGTTTTTTTGGGGGAAACCTGGGAGTTCACGGGTTCTTTTTTTTTTTGGGGGGGGGAGACCTGGGAGTTCATGGGTTTGGTTTGTTTTTTTGGGGGAAACCTGGGAGTTCACGGGTTCTTTTCTTTTTTTTGGGGGAGACCTGGGAGTTCATGGGTTTGGTTTGTTTTTTTGGGGGAAACCTGGAATATCACGGGTTCTTTTTTTTTTTGGGGGGGAGACCTGGGAGTTCATGGGTTTGGTTTGTTTTTTTGGGGGAAACCTGGGAGTTCACGGGTTCTTTTTTTTTTTTTGGGGGGGGGAGACCTGGGAGTTCATGGGTTTGGTTTGTTTTTTTGGGGGAAACCTGGGAGTTCACGGGTTCTTTTCTTTTTTTGGGGGGGGGAGACCTGGGAGTTCATGGGTTTGGTTTGTTTTTTTGGGGGAAACCTGGAATATCACGGGTTCCTTTTTTTTTTTGGGGGGGGGAGACCGGCAGTTCATGGGTTTGGTTTGTTTTTTGGGGGGAAACCTGGGAGTTCACGGGTTCTTTTTTTTTTTTTTTTTGGGGGAGACCTGGGAGTTCATGGGTTTGGTTTGTTTTTTGGGGGAAACCTGGGAGTTCACGGGTTCTTTTTTTTTTTTGGGGGGAGACCTGGGAGTTCATGGGTTTGGTTTGTTTTTTGGGGGAAACCTGGGAGTTCACGGGTTCTTTTTTTTTTTTTGGGGGGGGAGACCTGGGAGTTCATGGGTTTGGTTTGTTTTTTTGGGGGAAACCTGGGAGTTCACGGGTTCTTTCTTTTTTTTGGGGGAGACCTGGGAGTTCATGGGTTTGGTTTGTTTTTTGGGGGAAACCTGGGAGATCACGGGTTCTTTTTTTTTTGTGGGGGGGGGGAGACCTGGGAGTTCATGGGTTTGGTTTGTTTTTTTGGGGGAAACCTGGGAGTTCACGGGTTCTTTTTTTTTTGGGGGGGGGGAAGACCTGGGAGTTCATGGGTTTGGTTTGTTTTTTTGGGGGAAACCTGGGAGTTCACGGGTTCTTTTTTTTTTGTGGGGGGGGGGGAGACCTGGGAGTTCATGGGTTTGTTTTGTTTTTTGGGGGGAAACCTGGGAGTTCACGGGTTCTTTTTTTTTTTTGGGGGTGGGGGAGACCTGGGAGTTCATGGGTTTGGTTTGTTTTTTTGGGGGAGACCTGGGAGTTCACGGGTTCTTTTTTTTTTTTTTTGGGGGGGGGGGGGAGACCTGGGAGTTCACGGGTTTGGTTTGTTTTTTGGGGGAAACCTGGGAGTTCACGGGTTCTTTTTTTTTTTGGGGGGGAGACCTGGGAGTTCATGGGTTTGGTTTGTTTTTTTGGGGGAAACCTAGGAGTTCACGGGTTCTTTCTTTTTTTGGGGGGGGGGGAGACCTTGGGAGTTCATGGGTTTGGTTTGTTTTTTGGGGAAACGTTCGAGTTCTCTTTTTTTTTGGGGGGGGGGGGAGACCTGGGAGTTCATGGGTTTGGTTTGTTTTTTTGGGGGAAACCTGGGAGTTCACGGGTTCTTTTTTTTTTTGGGGGAGACCTGGGGTCTATGGTTTGGTTTGTTTTTTTGGGGGAAACCTTGGAGTCTACGGGTTCTTTTGTTTTTTTTTTGTGGGGAGACCTGGGAGTTCATGGGTTTGGTTTGTTCTTTTTTGGGGGAACTGGGAGTTCACGGTTCTTTTTTTTTTGGGGGGGGGGAGACCTGGGAGTTCCGGGTTTGGTTTGTTTTTTTGGGGGAAACCTGGGAGTTCACGGGGTTCTTTTGGGGGGCGGGGAGACCTGGGAGTTCAGGGGTTTGGCTTGTTTTTTTGGGGGAAACCTGGGAGTTCACGGGTTCTTTTTTTTTTTTTGGGGGGGGGGGGAGACCCTGGGAGTTCCGTTGGTTTATTTTGTTTTTTTGGGGGAAACCTGGAGTTCACGTGTCTTTTTTTTGGGGGGGGGGGGGGGAGACCTGGGAGTTCATGGGTTTGGTTTGTTTTTTGGGGGGAAACCTGGGGAGTTCACGGCCTTTTTCTTTTGGGGGGGAGACCTGGGAGTTCATGGGTTTGGTTTGTTTTTTTGGGGGGAAACCTGGGAGTTCACGGGTTCTTTCTTTTTTTTTGGGGGGGGAGACCTGGGAGTTCATGGGTTTGGTTTGTTTTTTTGGGGGAAACCTGGGAGATCACGGGTTCTTTTTTTTTTTGTGGGGGG